CGCTATCCTCCAGGATTCTGGCACTAAACCTTTTTTTAGGGACATATTAAACAAATTTGCTGAGGGCATACTAAGCTCGTCCTTACATTCCTTTTATACTCTGGCAAATATCTCATCGGGACCTGGTGACTTATAAGGCTTTAGTTTGTCTATTTGCTTACTAACATCGTTACTAGTCACTACTATCTCGCTTAATTTATTTTTTTCACTATCTTTGTATAGAATCGGAGCCTCGGGTATCATGTTTAAATTTTCGGTGGTGAAAACTGTTGAAAAATATTTATTCAGATTTTTGCTCATTTCTCCGTCGTTATCAGGTAGCTCGCCGATATCTGACTGTATTGATCCAGTTTTTTCTCGTGTTTTAGTTTGATACATTTGATAGAATCCCTTGGGGTTTGACTTCACGTCCCTTGTTATCTTCAGCTCATTATTCCTCTTGGCTTTTCTTATCTCGGTGTTATCCCTAAACGACAATACCTTATAGTAATCTCTTAGGTAAACTTCACCACAATTTATTCTCCTACCTATAGCATTCCTTTGTCCAATAATGGTCTTTAAATAATTATCTATCCATTTAGGGTCATTGTTGTTTGTTCTGAGTTGTTTGTATGGTATGTTCTGCCTTTGTGCATTAAGCAACTCATTATTAAAATTGTCTTGGAACTCGGCAACCTCAGATCTCATTATCAGGTCAATCTCAACCGTCAGGTCTCTGGGTAGGGTGAGGTCGCCCTTTGTGGGTACATTGAGTGAGGTCACCTCATGTGAGGTCATATAGTTAACCCCTAAGCATGATACCCCCTCTCTCAGCTGCCTCTTCAAACTATCAAAGTTTGCCCTTCTGAAATCTGTGACTTCAGTGGAATTTTTCTTGGGTCTGTACTGAAATTCTAACTGGAATCTGATTTCTTTTTGATCGCTCTTTGCAAGTTCGTTCCCTACCTCGACATTATTAATGAATTTTTTATCTGTTCGACAGAACTAAATCGAGTATATTATTACACTGGGTGGGTTCGGTTATATGTTGACTTAGGAAACAGTCCTGGATCATTTCAAGAAAATCCTCTGATTAAGAGTTACCTCTAAGGTCAATCCAATCTATTTGGCTAAAGTTAAAGTCGCCTACTTTACAGACTTTGTTATGTCTGGAAGCCCTGCGCATTTCGTTCCAAATAAGTCTCATATTAACTCTATCAAGATTAGGAGGCCTATATATTACTCCTGTGATTATTTTTTCCCTACCATCGATTAATTCTATCCAAATTGTTTCTGTATTTCGCTCAGTTTTGATTTCCTTATTTATTTCACACTTCAGATTATCCCTGACATAGATTGCTACTCCGCCTCCTTTCCTAATCTGCCTATCGGTATGGAATAATTTGTAACCTGCAATTTGATATTCGACAGGTAACTCACGTGAGTCTAGGTTTATCCATGTTTCGGTGAATGCTATAATATCGATTTTTTCGGTACATACCAAGGCCCTAATATCATCCACTTTGTTTCTCATACTTCTTCTGTTTGCAAAGTCGACATTTAAGTTAGTCGTGTTCTGATTCCTCTCTTTGTAGCGTTTAGGTTTAAACTCCCTGCCTAGTTTAGTTTTGTCATAATTCCTAGCCCTATTTCCCTGTAACCTTTCACTTTCACTTTGTTTACCCGCTCCCACTGCAGTCTCCTCCACCCCCGTGCTCATATGTTCTCCTCGCAGTTTAAAGTCTTCGACATCTTTTGAACTGCCCTCTCGAGAGACCCAGCCAGGGTTGCCACCCCATCCCTAGACAGATGCTGATAACCACAAGGAAACAAGAAAACGTGAAGTTCCCAAGCGCTTTCGTGTAATTCACATCTTCAGGGTGAGTACAGACTAAGGAGTAATACTTGACAAGGCTAATATATACAGTTGAGGAGAGTGAGATCAAGTCCCTAGGGGACAGAATGTGTCCACAATGTTCCGGTCATAAGGCAGTGACCCAACCCCGGAACATTGTGAATTACACGAAAACGCTTGGGAACTTCGTGTTTTCTTGTTTCCTTGTGGTTATCAGCATATACTTGGATCAAGCGCACCTACAGTGCATTTGCAGTCTACTTTCGTCCATGCGGGTAACATGGCCAGTCCAGTCTTATTGTTCATGGATAATGGTATCCTCGTTGCTCCTGCAGTTGGTGTCCTCAAGAATACTGGCATTTGTTCTCTTGTCTTCCCAGTGAACTCGGAAGATGGAACATAGACTATATTGGTGAAAGTTTTCAAGTGCCTTGAAACGTTTCCTGAATGTGACCCATGTCTCGTTGCCATATATAGCAGGGTGGGGAGAACCACTGCTCTATATACGTACAGCTTTTTAGATAATTTCAGCTCCCTACAGTTCACAACACGGGTACGCAGTCTGCCAAAGGCTTGAGATGCACATCTGATCTGGTGTTGAATCTCTTCATCAAAGTTCACAGTGGTGGACAGGTGGGAACCGACATACCGAAAGTGGGTAACTTTAGTGAGTGTAGTACAGTTAACCTGGATGGAGGGTGGAGGTGTGTCTGAACAAGGGGCAGGCTGAAAAAGAATCTGAGTTTTACATACATTCACCTCAAGGCCGAAGTGTGCATACACATCAGCGTTGGTGTTCAGGATCTCCTGTAGGTAGCATTCAGTGTGAGCGACAAGGGTGAGGTCGTCTGCCTACCGAAGTTCTGTAATGCAAGCTGCCGACACCTTTGCTCCTGCCTGGAGTCGTTTTATGTAGAAAAGACCCTTCGTTCGGTACGCGAAGTTTACCCCGCCGGTTATATTGGTACTGGCACGAGTAAGGAAGGCCGCCAAGAAAATGGAAAAGAGAGTTGGTGCCCATACACATCCTTGTTTTACCCGTTTGGATTGGGAAGAACTAGGACTGGGTGCTATAGTGCAGGACACTGCCGTTCATAACATCATGGAGTTGCCCCCTCCTAATGGCAATGAATTTTAGTGGGCAGCCAAAACGGTTGAGGGTCTGCCAAAGAGCTTCCTTGTTGACTGAGTTGAAGGCCTTGGTTAGGTCTATGAAGGCCATGTAAAGGTAACAACGCTGTTCTCTGCACATTTCCTGTATCTGGTGGGCTGCAAAGATCATGTCAGTGGTACCACGTGATGGTCTAAAGCCACATTAAGATCCTGGGAGAAAGTTTTCCGCCTCAGGAAAAAGTCTGTTTAGGACGACTTGGGCGATAATTTTGCCAGCTATTTACAGCAGCAAGATCCCACGGTAGTTGCCACAGTCTTTTCGGTGGTGCAAGTGTTGCAACGACTAGGGAGAGTTGCAATGAACTGCCTATAGCCCAGTTTGTTGGGTTTCGCCTTTGTAGCCTGTCCATCATGCATTGCCATCGTCCGCTGGTGTAGTTGTTGGGTCCCCATGTTGGTCACCTCTTCCTCCTATACCGGCGTTGGGGTCTTACTTGAGCACTGTAAGCTTGTCTGCCTGATGAGGAGCTCACAGATTTTTTATTCTGGTTTACTCCCGTAGCCTTAATCCGCAAGGCAGTGGGGCAGTGGTTGGTAGGCACCAGGACGTGTCCACATGACAGTGAGACTATGTGCCGTCCCTCTGGGGCCCACTGCAGCTCCGAGATCCTTTGCTGGCCTAGCCTGGGCCACGAAGCACCCAGTTACCGTGTGTTGCCACGAAAAGGCACAACAGGAGTTTTGATGGTGAAGAGTCTGTGTACTGGCAGGGGTGGACTCATACAAGTTGCTACCCTGTTCACCATGAGGGCTACCCAGCGGCCGTAGCTGATAGCGAGAGGAAGCAAGTAGTGCTTGCACCTTAACACCAAAATAATGCTGCCACACTAGATGCATTGCAACACCCTGTGCGCATACACACACACACACACAAGGACTATCTGAGATTGCCGACAGCTTATGGAGTTACCCATCAATATATATTGTTCACAGTTATGTTTAATATTCGTGGTGTGTATACTGTACATATCAGCGACAGAACCACAAATACAACAACAAAACCACAACTAAATCACCAGAACTACAACTACAACACCAGAACCACAGCTATAACAACAAAACCACAAATCCAACACCTGAACTACAACTACAACACCAGAACCACAGCTACAACAACAAAACCACAAATCCAACACCTGAACTACAACTACAACACCAGAACCACAGCTACAACAACAAAACCACAAATCCAACACCTGAACTACAACTACAACACCAGAACCACACCTACAACAACAGAACCATAACTGCAACGACAGAACAACAACTACAACGACAAAACCACAACTCCAACACCTGAACTACAACTACAACACCAGAACCACAGCTACAACAACAGAACCATAACTACAACAACAGAACTAGGGCTACAACGACAGAACTACAGTTACAACAACAGAACCACAGCTACAACAGCAGAACCAGGGCTACAACAAAAGAACCACAGCTAGAAGAACAGAACCATAATTACAACAACAGAACTTGGGCTACGACGACAGAACTACAGTTACAACAACAGAACCACAGCTACAACAGTAGAACCAAAGCTACAACAACAGAACCACAGCTGCAACAATAAATTTACAGTTACAACAGCAGAACCACAGCTACAACAACAGAACCACAGCTACAACAGTAGAACCATAGCTACAAAAACAGAACCACAACTGCAACAATAAATTTGCAGCTACAACAGCAGAACCACAGTTACAACAACAGAACAACAAATCCAACAACGACAGCATCGGGTCTTAAAAGCTCTTCAAGTACACTCAGGTTTATAAACTTCAGTTTCTTGGTGGGAGCATCAGTAGTTACTATATAAGTGAACTGTCATGAGCATTAGGGAACAAGAGGACAAGATACAGCAGGTGGGAGAACTGAAGAGATAGGTACAGTATATCATGAGAGTAACAAAAAAGTGGGACAGTGCAGATTGAACACGGAAAGAATCAGACATTTAAGGCGAGACTTAGGAAGAATCTTCAATTACCCAGAAGACCATGGATGCTGCAGCCAAGGCAGCGGCTGTCTCAGCGGCCAACTCAGTTCCTGGAAGAGGGAGACACGATCTGCTCAGTTATGTTCTTCACTGATAGGCGGATATTTTATATTTTTGCGAGGTTATCTAATGCCACATGCAAATGGTACCAAATAATCTATATATATAAATGAAAGTGAGACAATTTTTCCCATAAACCTACTCTCGCACATAGTAATGAGAGGAAAAATCTAAGACAAATTGTATCTCCCCTATATAAGTACCTAGTGATTGATTTAGACCTGCGAGGACCCTGTGCAGTTCAGACGCTTAGGGGCCCTGCACTACTTAATTTTAATAACACACCCAGCAGCCGTTGTGTTATAAAGTAAAACGCTCTAAAAGAAACTGATTACCCTAGGACTAGATCCTATAATCTGGGAAATTTATTTTTACCTTAAACATCTGAGTAACCAAGGTGAATCGCAGTTTATAACCCTCCCCAACCCAAGGTTGCTAACTACATACAGTACAACGACGGAAAAAAATAACTATTCAGAGGTATACTAAAAGAAAATATAAAGATGTTAGTATTATGTTGTTTTCTGTATTTAAAGTTGGGGGGTCTGTTTGACCGCACACTCTGAACACCCCGAAATCCAGCATTGCCTGTACCTTGTCTTACTAACCTGGGTGATCCTCATCAATTACAAAGGAAGGTCGCTCCATGGTCATGTCCTCAGGTCGTACCCAGGCTGCATGGTCAATTTCGCTGGAGCCCACCTGAAAATTAATGAAAGAGTTTTTATGAATACATTCAAGTTCGCAGTTACTATCACTCATGTTTTCCTAGCTTTCTTTACACTGTTTTTGCTTTTAATTAAGAATATCCCAAAGGTCCCCAAAAAATGATTTTCATAAGAAGAACTTAAGAAAATAAGGAGTCTGCAATAGGCCGGTTGGCCTGTGCATGGCAGCTCCTGTCGAGAGTTACTACCACACTCTATCATCCACGAATCTATCTAGCTTCATTTTAAAACTTTCCAGCGTTCCAGCACTTACTACAAAGTTGCTAAGCTTGTTCCACTCGTCCACGTTCCTATTTGTGAACCAGTTCCTTCCTATCTCCCTCATAAACCTAAACTTATCCAACTTAAATCCGTTGCTCCGAGTCCTATCCTGCTCGGATATTATAAGAACTTTATCTATATCCCCTTTATTGATTCCTTTCACCCACTTAAATACTTCTATCATATCTCCCCGCACTCTTCGTTTTTCTAGGGAATGCAAGTTTAGTTTTTTTAACCTTTCTTGATATGGTAGGTTTCTAAGTCCCGGAATCATTTTCGTCATTCTTCGCTGCACCGACTCCAGTGAATTGATATCCATTCTATAATAAGGGCACCAGAACTGAACCGCATAATCGAGGTGCGGCCTGACTAGCGCAAGATATAGTTGCAATAAGACCTCTGCACTCTTATTACTTCCACATCTAAATTTAAAACCTAATACTCTGTTTGCCATATTTCGAACATTAACGCACTGTTTTCTAGGCCGTAGGTCCGGGCTTACAAGTACCCCGAAGTCTCTTTCACAAGTCGACTTCTCTAGGTTGATGTTGTTAAGGCTGTATACATTGACAGTATTTGTTCTTCCAATATTAAGTGCGCTGCATTTGCTGGTGTTGAATTTCATTTGCCATTTTTCAGACCACCCCTGCAGTTTATTTAAATCCTCCTGTAGTGCATTTGCATCCTGCCCTGAATTAATCTGCCGCCCTATTTTGGTGTCATCCGCAAACTTGCTTATGTCACTGCTGATCCCAGTATCTAGATCGTTTATGTAGATTATGAACAAGAGTGGGCCTAGTTCTGACCTCTGGGGAACCCCACTGGTTCCACAGCCCCACTCAGATTTAACACCATCTACGCTGACTCTCTGCGTTCTATCGGTGAGCCATGATTTAATCCAATTTAAAACATTTCTCTCGATACCATGAGCCTCAACTTTTCTCAAAAGCCTCTAATGCGGTACTCTGTCAAATGCTTTGCTAAAGTCTAAGTAAATAACATCGTAATTTTCGTCATTATCTACTACCTCGAAGACTCTCCTAGAATACGTCAGCAGATTTGCTAGACAAGATTTTCCCTTTGTAAACCCATGTTGAGAGTCGTAAATTAATTTTCTTTTCTCTAAATGCGATCGGATGCTATCTGCTATAATTGATTCAAGAAATTTCCCCACTACTGACGTCAAACTGATCGGCCGGTAATTTGACGCTGTGTCTTCTCCTTGTTACTGACCCTCACTCTTTCAGCTCACCGCCAATTAATTTAAAAATTGGGAGACTGTTTATCTTTTAGGTATTTACCTTCATTTTGGCCCTTTAACGTATTGTATTGGGTCAGCTAACAAATGTGAAACTGAATGACGGACACAGCCTCTATAACGTTAAAAGACACCATCTACTGTAGTCCTATCAGTAACATCATATCACGTCTATCGTGTCTCATATTCAGTCACCGGGTGCAATTTCTTTATTTCTTTATCCGCTATATCAGTAAGAATCAATTTATGTATAGCAACTTGCGATGAAGACTTTGTAATATCAAATCGATACGTTTCAGTTCAATGTGGTCAGTGACACTTGGGACTTTATACCTACAAGCATTTTCCTGTGATATGTGATTTCCATTAATTGTTTTAAATATAATATTTGCATGTTGATAAATGATTCATTTGGGCTGGAGTTCATATTGATACAAAATATTATCATTTCCACTACAAGTACATATTGCCAGAAAATTATATGAAATTTGCATAGCTTTTTTAGTAAAATAAAAGTTCAGTATTTTTCGTCTAGTGAGTGTTACTGGGCCAGATATGTGTTGTATTTGCTATGAAAACTTCAGGATTTAATAAAAATATGAAACTTTCAGTTGTAGATGACCATGTTGTGATCAGTTTCTGATATGGAGCCTAGTTTAGGAGTGACGGCCATTTTCCAAAATGGCTGACAAAATATATATGCTTCAAAACTTTCACGTTTATATGCAACTTGAAAACCTTTTCTTAAAAAGTAAAATTTTATACAAATGTCAGTCAGACTGTTTGAACACCTACTCTCGATCTTTAAAAAGCTGTTTATATGTTAAGCACTGTAATATCATGTAAAACATCAGCATACCATACAAAGAACAGTTGAAATCTATTAATACATGTCAATATAATCTATTAGTGCGAAATAAGTCATACTTTCCAAAGCACTGACATCGTACTTAAGTTCAATATATCACACTCTCCTGGGCACAGGCATAGCGCTGTGCACATGAGAGCTGTATTTCTGCATTTGCACCTTCCTTTACATCCCTTCTTGCATCCTCATCATTAGCTTCAGGCAAGGTTGTCCCGAGTGGCTTCCAGCTTTCTGGAATGGTTCATCCCCAATCTGCTGGATTCAGAAGAGACCTATGTGCTTGCAGAATCTATCCTCAGATGAATGTACCTTAGTATGTTGTGCGTCGTATGTGTTGACTCAGAGCTGCCTATGATAGTGGAATGTTCTCTATTTGTTTGTCTTGTCAGTTAACAGTAAAAGTAACTAATTCAACAGAGTGTATTTGATCATAAAATAGCATAATAGAAATTCAATTCTTTTCTATCAGTTCTGCAAATGCACGTGTCATATCATCAAAGATTTCTCACACTTGCCATACAGTTTTCTTGCCAATGCCTGCAAACAAGGAGACGGTATTACATCCAGTATAAGCTTCGGAAAAAGCCAGGGTTTGTGATCTTTGTGGTCCAATACTTTTGTCAGTTTCATGAGCAGGTATTTTCCGCCCCCCCTAAAAGAAAAAAATCTAGAGATCTTTCACTTCCAATGTACAGTATACACCGCAGAAGCTGCAAGCACCACAACATCAGTGTCAGTTGTTTGAGCTAACACCCTTCTGACCAGCACGCGCTGCATCTGCAACGTGTACAAAGATCCTTCCATCGGCCTCCTTATGACTAGATGGAGCCAGCGTACTTATGTCACGATTTTGCAAGCAGATGCCATCCTTCCTGACTGTGTAGTTGATATTACTTGTTTATTTGTGTGAAGCGCCAATATCTGCTTTGCAAGGAAACTAAACAGATCCCTCTTGTTGTCATCGACTCTTAAGAAGGTCAGCCAGTTCCCTGGTATGATAGTTGTCTTCAACTCGTCTTCGAAGGCCTGTTCCACCTGACATTCGAGAACTTGTCTGTCAACGCGCTGGTATTTCTGAATCTGTTTCTGCACATAGGGCACAAATGCCTTGGCACCTTAAATATCAAAATTTTTAGAGCAAATGGGATTTAGCATATGGATAACAGCTGCACCATTCAATACAGTAATATCAACATCAGGAGCTAAAGCCTGACTTTTCCAAGGACTCCAAACTTTCAAGAAGACTGGATTTGATGCCAGTACACAGATTGTCATTATTTGAAAGTGCTGGTGGAAAGGAGGGTTCTCGTAAACAAAACACAATAAATCCATATTAACATCTCTTTTCTGGCAGGAAATGAAAAGCTAAGAGAACAATGTGCAATCGCTCTTTAGTGTTGCTCAAGTCTTGTGTATGCTTAGAGGTGCAGCTTGTTTTCCGGGATTGGGCCACAGATTGCCGTAGATCGTGTCACAAATCGGTTATTCATATTGCTCTCTTCCTATTTGGTAAGCTCTTTGGACACCACTGGCAATATCATGATCTATAACATCAGTGGTCTCCAACTTTACAGGACATTGACTGTGCTCGTGGAATGTATTTTCAAATTCCTTGATAGCTTCTGTCAAACTGTTGACTCGTTTGATAAACATTGCATGGGTTGATGCACTCTGTTCGTGGTGTTCAGTATTATGTGTTTTAGTAATGCTTTGAGCTTCAAATTATTGTGCAATTCAGGTAATTTCAGTCACACGAACCATCCAACGATGCAGTATTTTAGGGTTTTGTGTAATTTCTATTACACCTCCATAATCCTTTTCTAGCGCATTATACTGTTCGTGACCTTGATCTATAGAGACTAATGATAATGCCCTCTGTTACTTCCTTACAACGAAATTGTCCTAAATGAATTCACTTGCCATATGTGGGTCTGTCTGCCACAGACTGGTCATGTCCTAAACATAGACTGACATTCACTTACATAGTGAACATGGTCCAGGCTAAAGAGCTATGTTAAAGCTGCCCATTCTCTGACACTATCATCCAGAAATTAAACAGAGGACTTCCTTTCCTTCTGCGTTCAATCCACCGACCTAATGTTTCAGTAATATTAGCACTTTGATATTCCTCTTGTAGTACCATATGTAGACTGCAGAGGGTGACCTGGTGGACATGTTTTGTTTTCATTACATGTGGTGCGTTAATAAATTAGTTCGCGGTGCCAGCAGATGTAATATGAGGTTTGATGAGTGCCTCTACCCTTCCACTGCTGTCCAGCTAATGTCCCAGTAACCTCAAAGCAACCATTTCTATGTTCTTGCCATAGAGTAAGTCCCTGGCTGCATTAACATCTTTTAAATGATGTTCAAGAGAACTATACCCGGCACTACTGCACCATACTTGCGCTTGGATTTACTGAGGCATTAAAGGGCATATTTTCTGTGAGTCTGGCAGAAAATACATTTTGTCTAGTCAATGATGGCAATGGGAGTTCTCACAGGAACGTGTTCATTATATATATCATGTAGATCCACAATGGAAACGTGGATAAGATAAATCTTGATAAAATCACACAGGAAAAAGGGAACAATGGAGCACCTTAGCTTTCGTCTTTATTCAAGACATCTTCTGAGGCAACTATATATATATATATATATATATATATATATATATATATATATATATATATATATATATATATATATATATATACATGCTGATAACTACATAGGAAACAAGAAAATTTGATGATCCCAAGCGCTTTCGTGTAATTCACATCTTCAGGGGTGAGTACAGACTAAGGAGTAACTACTGACAAGGCTAATATATACAGTAAAGATGAGGGAGATGAAGTCCCTTGGGACAGCAAGTATCCACCATATTTAGGTCATAAGGTAATGACCCAACCCTTTCACCTGGTTACAAATATTGTTAATCACAAAATTGTCCAATTTATACATGTCATTACCTAAATTCGTGTTGACAGATTTGGTATATATATTGAGACTAGATTCTATACTGTTCCTATTGATAATTGAATTACAACGTAATGTTGAGGAGGCATTATCCCAGTCAATGTAATGCTTATTATCTCTCATATGAATGAACAAAGCATTGGATTCCTTGCCTGTTCTGACACTATATTTGTGCTGTTTAAGTCTAGATGTAAGATCTTTTCCCGTCTGACCTAAGTAGAGCATATAACATTCATTGCAAGGAACCTTTGTTATGCAGCCGCATTGCTGGGGTAGTTCTTAATTAACACTTGTTTTACAGTGCGTGAGTTACTAAATGTTAAATTTAGGTTCCAGATTTTCAGTTGTAGAGGAATTTGAGAGACATTTTTGTTAAACGATGATACTAAGAGATTCTTACTGTCATGGGGAGCTTTTGGATCAGTTCTATAAATAGATTTCTTAGCGATGTTATGGCAGTTATTGAAATGTGTATGTATGCTTTTTTTTTACTTTTCAATTTCTATTTCACATTATTAAATTAGGAGTCTTAGTTTCGAGGATTGTAATTTTAAACTAGAATACAGTTTCATTGATATTACTTTGATATCTAATACAACTGAAGCAATATAAATGAAATATCATAACAGAGATGCACTGCTCACCGTCCAGTACAAAAGCTTCATTAATTTTATAAAACCCCAAATGGATTATAAATGATATACAAATGTTTTAAAATATTCACTAAAGTTTTAGAAATCTTTAAGGCCTGCCTTAGAACTTACAATTTTTGACGCAATAAGTTTTAAATCTCTCATAACTTGAAGATTCGTAAAAATATTCTACAACGAGTAAAAACTGACCTGACCCCAGATTTGGTATTCGTCAGTGTGAGCCTTGAGGAAGTAGTCGGTGGCCCACTTGAGCGCTGCCTCAGCGTACTCCGTCTGACCTGTGGGAAAAACACAAGGATCATGAATCTCTCAAAACACTGTCTCTAGACACACCAGGGTCACAGGTCTCTCACAAAACACTGCCTCTGGGAGACACACCAGGATCGTGAGTCTCTCAAAACACTGTTTCTGGGAGACACACCAGGATCGTGAGACTATTACAACACTGTCCTTGGGAAACAATACAGGATCAAGAGACTCCCAAAACACTATCCCAAGGAGACACACCAGGACCATACGCTACCTGACCTAGTTGGAGAAGGACGTCCTGGCTCGTGTTAGTGACCAGAAGAAATGGCCGCCGTGGATCGTTGTGTTGTGGGGAAGAGGGGCGGAGTGTGAGGAAAGACGACCTCCTGGCTACTTTGTTAAGTCAGCTGGAGCAGTTGAGGAGATAGATGGGCGTAGAACATAAGAAATATGAGTCTGCACAGGCCGGCTGGCCTGTACAGGCCCTTGTCGAGAGTTACTACCACTTCTATCATCCATGAATCTATCTACCTTTTTGAAACTTTCCAGAGTTCCCACTTACTACAAGCAAAGTTTAAGCTTGTTCCACCTGTCCACCAATTCATTTGTGGAACCAGTTTCTTCCTATCTCCAAACCTAAACTTATCGCACCTGGAATCCTATGCTCGATATTATAAGAACTTTATTCATATCCCTTTATTGATTCCTTTCACCCACTTAAATACTTCATCATATCTCCCGCACTCTCGTCTTTCTAGGAATGCAAGCGTTTTTAATCCATCCTGATATGGCTAGCCTCTAAGTCCCCTGAATCATTTTTGTCATTCTTCGCTGCACCGACGTGAATTTTATAATCCATTCTATAATAGGGGCAAATTAGAATCCGAAACCCGCATAATCGGAGGTGCGGGCCTAACTAGCGCAAGATATAGTTGCAATAAGACCCTGCACTCTGGTTACTTACACTTCTAGATACATAAAACCATTACTCTGTTTGGCCTTATTTCTGAAATATTAACGCCACTGTTTTCAGGCTGCAGGTCCGGGCTTACAAGCAATTCTTAGTCTCTTTCTATGGCCGACTTTCAGGTTGATGTTGTTCAGGCTGTATACATTATAAGCATTTGTTCTTCCAATAAGTACGCTGCACTTGCTGGTGTTGAATTTATCACATTTTTCAGACCACAATTCTGCAATTTATTTAGATCCTCCTGTAATGCATTTGCATCCTGCCCTGAATTAATTTTGCCTCTATTTTGGTTTCATCCAAACTTGCTTATGTCACTGCTGATCCCATCTAAATCATTATGTAGATTATGAACAAGAGTGGGCCTTAGGCATTGACCCTCAGAACCTTCTACAGGTTGCTAATTGCCCCAATTCAGATTTAATAATTATCTACGCTGACCCTCTGCGTTCTATCGGTGAGTTATGATTTATCCAATTTAAAACTTTCTCCTCGATACCATGAGCCTTAATTTTCCGTAGTCTCGATGTCTTCGTCAAATGCTTTACAAAGTTCAAGTAAATAACATCGTAATTTCTGTCATTATTCATTTTCACCCGGAAGACTTTCCTAAAAACGCAGCAGATTTGTTAGACAAGATTTTCCTTTGTAAACCCATGTTGAGAGTCGTAGATTAATTTGCTTTTCTAGATGCGATCGATGCTATCTGCTATAATTGATTCAAGAAATTTCATCACTGACGTCAAACCGATCGGCTGGGTAATTTGACGCTGATGCTCTGTCCTTTTTAAATATGGGCACTAAGATTGCCTGTTTCACAACCTGGCAATAACCCAGTGTCTAATGATTTTGTAAATAAATTTACGAGGCGTCCACTAATCTGTTCTCTTGGCTAATTTTTTAAGACCTTGAGGAAATTTCATCCCGCCTCAGATTTTGAAGTTTTAGTTTATCATTTCTTAACATCCCTCTTCTGATGGTGATATTCTTTTACTTCTCTTCCTTTCCTTAATATCAGTTCCACCTCCGAATTTCATCGCAATTTTCCAGAAAACTGGATAAGAAGTAGCTGTTCGCTTTGTCTATGTCTTCACTGCCATTTATCAATTCTCCCTCCCTGAATTTTGTAGAAGGGCCCAACCTTATCCTGACCTTGTCCTATATACTCCGAAAATCCCTTGGGATTCGCCTTCTGATTCTCTTGCCATTTGATTTCATAGTCTCTCTTTGCTTTCCTTACATTTTTCTTAACACCTAGAGGTTCATGAGTACCTGTTTCTGAGCTGCTCCTCCCCCTCCCTTTAATTTCTTATATATCTTCTTTATTCCTATGTAATGCTTAAGTTTTCTGGTCATCCACCTTAGCTCATTCTTATTTGGACCCATTTTTCTGTATGGTATATTTTGTTCTTGTGTTTTACGTATAACAGAATATATTATAGTCATGATCAATTGTTGTGTCATCTATGACCCTCAACACTTCCTACTGAGAACTGACGTGATCGTTCTATATGACCAACGATACCTTCTAGTCCCTCGCGATAACTGTCAACCGAAAGTTTGGGACCTGACCATATTGTCATTGTTTTCGTTTCCTCTTAACTTCTAGGTGAGAACCTGATTTCTCTGTGATCACTGTTACCCAGTTCTTCCCTACTGTGATATCTCTGATAATATTTTCTTTATTTGTTAATACTAGGTCTAATATATTGTCACTCTAGTAGGTTCTGCAGGTTGTTTCAAAAATTGTCCTGTACTGCGTCTAGGAAGTCTTCAGATCTTAAGGAAGTCGCCCAATGTTGTCCCAGCCTGAATATCGAAGTTGAAATCCCCACAATGCATAGGTTGTTATTTGCTGCCCTACTCATTTCCTGCCATATGGGCTGAGCTGTTTCTTTTTGCTAAGACTTGGGGGCCTGTAAATCATCTCTATAATTAGTTTTTTTCTTCCTTCCGTGATTTCTACCCACACAGACTCGGTCTTATTTCCAATCTTTTTATTGAATTCATAGTACAACATTTGTCATCCTTGACGAAGAGGTGGCCCTCCCTCCTACCTTCCTGTCCTAGAAAAGGTTGTACCCTCTATGTGGTACCTGAGAAAAATTTTGTTCGCCAGATTCATCCAAGTTTCGGTGATTGCTATGACGTCTATATTCTCGGTACATAAGCAACTGCTCAGTAAGTCTATTTATTTTAACGCCCTATTGTTTGTATAGTATACATTTAAACCTACTCTTTCCTCGATCCTGTTTTACTTTTTGTCCTGAGTAACCACTCTACTCTGAGACCTGCTTGTTTTTTTATTCCCACTTTCCCTGACCCCTCTACTGGCGAACCCCTCGATTGGCCAGCTCTTTCAGGATGGCTGTAATTGGGATTCCTTCGAAATGATTTTTATAGAAATTAATGTAGTTGGTCAATCAATTAATCTATATATATATATATATATATATATATATATATATATATATATATATATATATATATATATATATATATATATATATATATATATATATTTCATGTAATCACAATGAAAACGTGGATAAGATAAATCTTGATAAATCACACGGGAAAATGGAAACAACGGAGTACCTTAGCTTTCGTCTTTATTCAAGACATCTCAGAGGCAACTGATGGGTAGAGAAACAACGGGTAACACTGAAGTCCATTTATTAACGGATAGGAGAAATACAAGTAGTGACTAGCGTGTGCCATGCACGGCCCACAGAGTCAGACTGAGACTGCCTTGCCATATGGCAGCCCCGGGACAATGTTGCCACCTAACACGTGCAGTGTTGCCACGTAATTACACTATATAAATGCTACTCGGCACAGTAGCTTATTTACAAGGTTGCTACTCGGCACAGTAGCATGGGGTTCAGTGTCAACTAAGAAAAAGCATGTCATACTGCAACAGCTTAGTGTCCCAAATGCTGCTTAACCAACAGCAAATCAGTTAAGCAGCCGCACCTGAATTGACAGGATGTGCCAGCGCGGGAGAGCCGAGCCAAGGATAACGGGGTATTAGATATCTGGATGGTGTACAGATCGCACGGGACTAATGACACTGGATGAACGATCGGACTAGGTGTAGGGCAAAAGTTGTATCCCATACAAGAAAGTGCACATCAGGGTGGTAAAGGATAAACCCACGCCCCTGAAGATCAAAAATAGTTATGGACACAAAATCTACCAACAAATCATTGCTCACTGACTGGGCAAAGTGTTGTCTTTGTCAAAAAAGGAGATGACGGTTACAAGAGCTTGGCAAGGAATACTCCTTTATTTCATTCAATCAGTGCACTGCCAATCAACCTTGACCCTGTAAGACTTGTTGAAGATGATGGGATAGAGGAGACCTTGAGGAAAAACAAGGCATAGTATCATGAAAGTTGCAGACTTCTGTTCAACAACACAAAGTTAAATAGAGCTCAGAAAAGTCGAACCTCTGCAGTTGCTACAGAGGAGAGCAGCAGTAGCAAGATACCACGAATGATCAGAGACCCCAAAGCAACAGAATGCTTTCTATGTGAGATGACAAAAACAAGACAGAACTATTCTATTTTCTCGCAGGAGAAGATGCCATTAGCAACACAGAGAAGTCCCTAGAAGCTGTGGCTCCATGCTGTCATGAGGAAGCAGACAAACGAATATTTGTGCATGCTAGGGATGCAGCAATGGAAGGTAGCAAGTCCCTCATCATCAAAGCCAATGACACTGACGTGGTCGTCATAGCAGTATCTGTACTGCCATCACTACAGGAGCTTGGTCTCTGATAACATGTGGGTTGCCTTTGGCCAAGGAGCCAGTCATCGATGGATTCCAGTTCATGATGTAGTTTCTGCGTTAGGGCCTAAGAAAGCTAGTGGGATCCTATACTTTCATGCTTTCACTGGCTGTGACGTTGTGTCTGGTTTCCGTGGGAAAGGAAAGAAATCTTCATGGCAGACATGGAATGGCTGTGATGAAGTTTCAGAAGCATTCACCAAACTCAGCCAATGCCCAACAACAGTTGCTGATGTTGACCTGCAGAAGCTGGAAAGATTTGTTGTCCTC